ATGAATTATACCGAAATATTAAATAAATTACAAATTATTATATTATATGTGACTAACATATTAATATACAATATTAATAACTATATATAATATTTATATGAAAACTTTAAAGATTCAAAATACTCATGTAGTATTTTTAATAGTAAATATAAATAATACATATCCATATTTACACACATGTATTCATTCTTACATATACATATTCAAATTGTCTATTCATAATATTTACCGTGAATTTTGTCAACGGCGTACAGTTTAAGTTCTTTCTTAGTATATTTTGAGAAGTATATTAAAAGTATAACCGACTAGTACACATTCGTAATATTTTCTTTCTACAAATATAGCAATATTATTTTCGAAACTCGAAATTATCGATATAGTTCAGTCATCTTATCAATTAAGTCTTCACTTCTTTTTTTATTATAGTAGTTATGTTTATCGTTGCTTGCAACAATTTACTCGACTTGTAAAACGAAGAATAAAGTTAATTATTAGGTGTGTCTATTTCTTAGTACCTGTAGAAAAAAGAAGAAACAGAAAAAAATATAATTACGGATTAATAAATAACTTGATTTATATTTTTCTTAAATAGTTCATTACTTTTTTATTAATTATTTCAAAACGGTAATTTTACATTCTTTATAATTATTAGTTATGCAGATAAAATTATTTTTTTATGTTATAATATCCTCATAATTATAAGTTGACAGAAACTAATGTAAAAATCTTTAAAAAATCTTAGGAATTATATCAGATTCCCTGTTACAAAATGTTAATAAAATCAAATGTATAAAAAATATAGAAAATTATATACAATTTTATTTTTATCGGTTTCAAACGAAATATATTTAAAGTATACTTATTCAATATTAATATTAAAAGACTCATAAATGTAGTACACCAGATCGAAGATAGAATTATAAGAATTATTAAAGTTTTGAACTTAATTTTCCTTCTTTAAAAGATTAAAGTTTATATAAGTATTTTTTAAATGTAATTATAATTAATGAATATATTAATTTCAGTATAATTGATAAGTTCTATGAATTGATAAGTTTAGAATTTAAATATCTTTTTATTAATGTATATATATTATACATGTAAGTATGAGCAGAATGTAATTTAATAATAAATGATTGCAATTTTTTATAATTTTATTTACAAAAAAATTAATTTGAATTTAAAAACTGTAAAAGGTGTAATCTAATATCATTAAAATTTGTATTTTATTATATAATTTTTTATTTTAAGACTATAACAAATACATTTTTTTTATATTGCCTTACAATTGAACTATTGCAGTATATATATATAGTATTTTTCATTATCTTAAACAATAACATGTTCTATAAATTTATAGAACTGAGTTTCTAAATATATATTCTTAGAAAAACTATTTTTTTACTATTCTTCATTCGTTATTATTTTCCTACTATTCATCCATTATTACTATTTGCATTATTTATATATATTATATTAATAGTTAATTAGAACACTAATTTACTCCAATTAGTTATTTTTTATAAATATATTTTAAAACAATAATGAGTATAAAAAGAGCATTTTTAAAGTCGATAAAAGGGTTATTATAACCGAGTCAGTAATTCCATAAATTTAATAAATCAATTATTTGCAGTTAAGCGTTCAGTTCTGACAAGTAATCGATATCATCAGCTCAACTATGTGTTATTCAATACTAATACCAGTAGTTTTCAAACAACTGACAGTGTACGTAACAGCCATTTAAGTGAATAGGGGTATTACATAACAAGTTAGGTGCCAGGATGTCCAATATATAGTTATAAGGAAGCGATTTAACGTGCACTATTGACTCCATCCAATTGAAAATTGTGGTAAAGTCTGCTTGCTCATGTATGGCTCCCCTCAAAATATGTTCTTCGTTCTACGGCCCTCATTCCTTTCTTTTTTCTTACTACGTGTTGCCTCTATTGCTTCTCTTTTTAACTACCGCTACTGACCGCTACTGACACTACTTCTACTCTGCTCTTCATGGCCGATCGACTAGTCTTTAAAATCGGTCGATCGTCTTTTCACTGGGCGGCGAAAGTGTTTGATGTCGTGTGACGAATGTTCACGTTGGACGCGCCTTCTCTCTTTCTCTTTCTCTCATATTATGCTTCTTCACCATACTCCCTCGCTCTCTACTTGTTTTTGACCATCTTTCTTCAGTCCATATATACTAGCATACCACATTTGCGAAATGAAAAGATTTTACCGACGTTATTGAATACCATAGGATATCTTGGAATATTTATAAGCCAATCACCAAGAATATGTTATGTTTTTCTCTATTTCGAATTGACTGTTAAAGATATTTTTAAATATTTTTTTATATATTATGTATTTAAAATTTTAATTTTTTCACAATAAATGATTTTTAACAATAAAGAGAAATTAAAACATGGAAATTTAAAATTCAAGAATGGAAATAATTATAAAATATATACATAAATTGATAAATTCATCAGATTGATCATTATTGCATAATATACTTATATCGAATATGGAAAAATTTATGTAGTTATTAAATATTGTCTTATTTTTCTTTTTTATAAAAAATAAATAAGATAAATTTGGCACATTTGACAAATTTTCAGCATATATTCTATATTATAACTCTTTTTTTATTACTTAAACGCTAGAACGAATTATATAAATCTTTAGTTTATCTAATTTTAAATTATTTTATATATCAATATGAATGTATACGTGATATATTACAATGCGGAAGTAAGTTATAATCCGTTGTTTACAAACTTGATAAATCTTAATTTAAAAAAAAGGATAAACTCAGAATTAATAAAAATTAACTTGAGAGTCAAAGTGTTATTATAATTACTAAAGTAAACTTGATACATAAAATTGGAGGCTTTTTAATTTATTAATATATAATCGAAATAATTTTATAATTATTTATGAATACAGTATATACATTTCATTTTCAAGATCCATTGAGTAATATTCTTAAAATAAGTTTCTTATTTATTTTGATACCATATAATATTAAAGAGAAGAATTTTTTTGTCAACTTTCTACATGACATTTGGAAGATTTATATATCTAATTGATAGACTCTATTTTAATTTTATAATTTTTAATTACATTTTATAGATTTTATTTAATTTTTTGTATTAAAAAATATAAATAATAATTATTGAAAAATTGATAAACTATTAACAATCTCATTTATTAATAAAAAATAATATAAAATATAGAATGCATAGATAAAATCAATATAAATTAATAAAAGAAACAATTTCGATGTTATTTTCAGAAATAGTAAGTAAAAAGATATAAACTTAAATAGATCATCTTGAAAACAACAACTTTTCCAATATTTCAATGCAACAATTTAACAAATTAGAATTTGAAAACTACGACAATAATTTCTAATTGTATAGATAGTAACTGTACAAAAATTTATTGTATAATAATTTAATGTATCCTATTTTATTAATTTCTGTTTTCAATAATGTGCCATGTTGGAAAATAGAGTAATTGTATTTTGTCTTTTATTGTATTTCATAACTAATATTTTAAATAAACAAATATTTAAAATTTTTTTTTAATTTGTTATTAAAATTAGATAAACAATTGATTATTAAATATATTCAAAAATTTTAATATTTATGCAAAGTTTTATTTAAAGTTTTAAACATATGTAAAAATTAGAAAGCATTAGTAACTATTGTAAAAGTACTATTGTAAAATGCATACAAATTTTTAAAAATTTATATACAATCTAATCCATGATAAAAATAATCAAAGCGAGTACTATTTACGGATTTTCACTCAATCTTTTTAATAGTATAACTTAACATAAGTTCTATTAAACTATAGTACATTTACAAAGAATGCAAATATCCTTGAATTAATTTCAACATTACAATTTGATAGTTTATCTTTTACAATAATAAGAAATTAAATAAAGAATAAGTAAATAAAAAATACATTTAATTATTTTATTTTTTCATAAACCAAAGGGGCATGGAAAGGAAAAACAAAGGAAAACTTTAATCTCCAATCCGTTTTCGATAGATTTCGTAATTTTTAATTAGTTAAGAAAAAAAACTTCTGAATTAAAAGAAATTGATCAACTCATAATTAAATATATAATAAGAAAAGATGCATATAAAAATATATTAAGTTAATATTATAAGTTTATATTAAGAAAAGTATATTTTAAAAATACTCCATTAAAATGATTATAAAAATTAATCTTATTAATTCACTTCAAACATTTAATAATTGTATTTTCAAATGTAAATATTAGATTATTGATATTAGAAAATTAAAATTTCATAAAATTGTCATAGAAAAAAAGAAAATTAACAAATTATACATTTAAACTATATATTTAAATTATAAATATTTTCAATGTATATCAAAATAAAAAATAAAATAATTAAATATATATATGATATATTTTTAATCTACAAATATTTTTAAATTAAATCAATTTATATATATATATATATATATATTAAGAGTAATAGCTTTTAAAACATTGTATAATTAAATAATTTTAAAAATAATTTTTCTAGTTACTAATAAAAATAAAATAAAATGTACTAGGTTTCTTTAGAGGTGTTATATAGCAATTAGGTTTATCCAATTAAAGCTTCTAATCTGAAGCGCATTCCTATGTTTATACAAATTTGCCGCCTTTCTGTTATCTAAGAGACTTAGTTGTTCTTACTTATCCATTGTCTTGGGGTTCAGTTTGTGGGGGTGATCTTAAATCTAAATTGCAATCATTTGTCAAGATGAATGCTTTGAACACGCGAAAAGCGGTAATCTTCCATAGAGACTGAAATTACTGCTAAATGCGATGGTCTAAATAAGTGCGCATCTGGGTATGCAAGTAAAATAAATTAAATAAGTTCTTCACTCTAAAAAAGTGGCGATTGAAATCAGTAGTCTAATAGCAATTCATAATCTAATAATAACTTAAAATATTAATAATGGAAAAATATTACCCTTAAAGTAAGTAAAGATCCAGGTAAAATGCCAAGTGTAGAGAGAGTTTGTTCGTCATCCGTTAGTTCATGGTCCCCAAGCATTACATGTTGATCATATGGCCCTGCTTTATAAATATGCATAGTCTGTGAAAATATATTAATTTAAATTTATATTACTAATGTTATAAAAATAAATATTCATAATAATAATTGTAACAATTAAATATCTAAAATATTTAAATATAATGAAATCATTAAATACATATTCAGTAGACATATATAACATAATTAAATTTATAAATTAGTAGTAAAAATTCTTCGTACCACGGAAATTAGAATTTAGAATTTTAACGTAATGTTTCATATAATACACTCATTTATATGAAAAATAAATCTTGCAACATCTTATTCAAACACATTAAAACAGAGTTTTATATTTAACTAAATTTGTTAATAAATCCAATATATAAATAATTTAAAATAAAAGTTTTAACATTAGTTTATGAGTTACGAAAAGTAGAAATTTTATAATTCGCTGTTTATGAAGCAAAAATACTAAAACAAGAACACAAAAAAAATTAAACTGAGTAAAAAGCATAAAAAAATAAGTAAAAGAGGACGAATAAGAAAAGTTTCAAGCACCGCGAACATCTTGAACATGCACCCGATAATTGCTTAATTTGTAGAAGCACACCAATATTGCTTTTTACCGAAGAGTGTGATTTGTAAGTGTAGCGACGTAAACACAGCCAGTTTCGTTTTACGAGCTCCATGGTGCCTCACGCCTAAGTACATGATTCATAATTTACTACGTATATAGGAGCGTGTGCCACGTTAATTCAAGTTTACATTATTACAGTGAGAAAAGGACAGCAATATAATTTAATGTAGATGCAAAATATTGAAAATGAAAATGACTTGAGATCATTATCAATAAAAGCTTATATACAGTATTTATAACAAAATGGATATATCTACGAATATAAATAAATAGGGATAAAAAATACTTCAATTCAATATTATTGAAATTATATTTATTTGAATTGCATTAATATTAATGTTAATATAATTCTGTTTTCAAACGATCAATATTAGAAAATGAAGAACCTTAAAATTCATTATCTCTACTGCCACTAATTAATGGTGTTCCTTTCTTAAATAATTATATTTACAATGGACATTATCAATATTATTATTATGTAGATTATGCACTAACATTTATCTCATCTTTTAATTTTCCTTTTTTAAATTATAATACTGTTTAAAATATATTATAAAACATTCAATAGTTATAAAAAATATAATTATAATTTAAGATAATTAAACCACTTGATTATATAATATATGATTTTATAAAAATATAGATGAGTTTTACATAGTATTTTTATAAACTAAATACATATTTCTATATTGAGAATGCTTATTATATAAAAATATGTATATTCCTCAAATATTACAAGATAATATGATCCAGATTAGAAAATCCAGAAAATTCTTCAATTATAATATGATTTACTTACATAAAAATTTAATCATATTTTATTAGAATAAAATGACATATTGCCATAAATATATAATTTTATATACAACAATTTTAATTTTAATGCAAATCATAAAAACTATAATTTTAATATAAAAAGATTTTAAATAAAAATCATTAGTATACATAAATATTTTTTTATGTTATATAAACGTGTTATTATTAACTAACGTTAATAATAATTTTTTTTTTTTAATTACATTTGAAAGTAATTACGAAAATAGTTTACATAATTTATATTTGTAATTCTTAAATTACATACTAATGGCATGTGTTACAAAATGGTAAATATGTTGAATTATAATTATTTAGATATATTACCTTGTAATCTTATAATATAGTAGTACTTATAAAATTACGAATTCTCAATAAAAAGAAATTTAATTCAAACTTCTGTGATGATTGTTGGCTTGCTAACTTTATTTCTGTATAGCTTTATTTTATATAGAACTTTAAAAAATTTGATTTACAAAAAGCAAGTTTAAAGTATGTATATGAAATAAAATTTGCTTTTAACAATAAATATTTTTGAAAATCACATTTTATTCTTAATTTTAAATTTATTTAATATAGTGAACTCTTATGATAAAAGGTTAAGAAATTGTTTAAAATTTTATTTTACACAAAACTAAATGGTGATATAGCATATATTACTTAATAAAGATAAGTATTTAAATATTTTTCTGTAAATAAGATCTGTTTAGGATTATAATAAAATTTATTAAAATTAGTCATTTTTTATTCCATTAAGTAGTACTATCGTTTACAAAAGTTTGTAGTAATGACAATGAACAAATAAAAATGTATTATTTTCATAAATCATGTACTGGATATAATCATTTTTAAATATATTTTTTTAATTAAAAATGATATTATATTAAATGCATATTAAATTTAATTAAATTAAGGAATATATATGGTTCCTGAACAACAAAATTTAATTAATATTATAGATATTAGTATTACTTATTCATTTCTATAATTTATATTGGGAAATTAATTTATTTGTTTGTATTGTGCAAGCAAAAGGAAGGAAATTTTTTTAACATTGAACAAAATATAAAGAATAATTATCACAACATTTATAATTATTTTTTGAATAATTAATTTGTATTTATATTTACGGTTCATTATTAATAACAATAGACCTGTTAAGCTAAATTGAGCCTCTCGATTAAATAAATTTATTTTAAAATTTGATATATTGATTTACTCTACGATAATATCTTTAAATATTTTCTAATTAAATTATTAAAAATTTGTTTCCATTATTATAGAATAAATTGGAACATTTAATGGTTGTTTCTATTATGTAACTAAATTATGGGATCATAAAAACAGGTTATTTTAACTAAAATTATTCTGATTTTGTAAAAGCAATTTGAACAAACAAAGAAAAATAAAGAATTGAAAGAATTTGAATAAAAAATGGAAAATTGAAGATTAACCAGTCATAAAACTTTTGCAGCATAACAAAATCAAATTCAATACATATACATCATGATTTTATAAACTAAGTAATTATCTATGTCTTATTTTTCAACCTTTTCCATTTATTACGTTAATATATTATCATATGTTAATTATTCATTAAATAAAGTTTTGAAATTTGGTATTACAGAAAAACAATCAGTACAAAAAACATCTTTTTAAAAATTTAAAAATGTATAATAAGATAACTAAAGTATTAAATATGTTAAATAAATAAATAGTCCATACAAAATAAATAATATATATAATAAAGACTAACACTTTGAAATTTAATTATTATTTAAATTAATGATTCACGTATAAAAATTAAAAAAATATAAATATTTTTAAAAAATAATAATTTGCAGTTGAAAGTAGCATTAAAAATATATAATAAACGCAGATTGCTTGAAATATAGAGTGTTACGTATCCCCTCTCCTTCTCTTATTTATATTCTGCTATGATCCGAATAGATTCTACGGATGAAAAAAAGTACTTTTCATAATAATAAATTCATAATAAGAAAAGCAAAACATAGAGAAGAAGCAAAATCCTACAAAGATTAATAAAAGAAGAAATAAACAAAAAGAAAAAAGGGTACAGAAAATAAAATATAAAAAGAAAGTTCTTAGTGTTCAACAATCAGAAGAGAGTAAAGTGGAGAAGATGAAGGTCTGTTATTAGGATCGAGGTTTATGCCTTTTTCGGGTTTTTGCCATTGCCTCCGCGAGATGGCTTCAGCTTTACAATATAAATACGCTGATAGTTTAAGCACACTTCCCAGAGCTCCAGTTTATATGCTAACCAGCCATAACTATGCTTTAAAACTTTTGACCAGCAACGATAATGGGGTTCAGACATTCAGACTTCTTTCGCGAACGAGCACCAGATAACTAACCTCAAAGACTCAAGTGAGTTCATGCTTCCAGTTCAATGTTTATCATTAGACTTTTTCATTTTTATTTAACTCTGTTATTGTCATAATTAATTTATTTAACCATATAAATATAATGTACAGTTATATTGCATTATTTATTTTTTGAAGTTCAAAAAGTGATTTCTTAGTTAAGTACTCAAAACCAATAGATATTTAGTACATCTATTTTGTAGTATATGTATTTAAATTAATTTTATACATAAATAATTTCAATAGAATTTATATTATTATTTATAATACTATTTATATTTTTTTAATGTATGATAAAGTAATAGATAAAATTTTTATACCATAAGCTTTAATTCTTTCAAAGTATTTTCTGATGATACGGTTAATTCATGTGATCCTTTCACCTTTCGCCCTCTTCTTAGTGGTCTATTATTTGTTACTAATAATCCATCAGATACCTGTTAATATTTATATCTTTTTGAATAAATTATATCTTATACTTTAATACATAAATACATTATAAACCAAATAACTATAATTCATTTGATTAGATGTGTCATTTTAATTAAAGTTTATATTATTTTAAGAAGAATAAAGTTTAAAAAAATAAACATTACAGTAAGAAATAAAATAATGAATTTGATGAAATACCGATAAAACAAATAATATGAGAGATGACTTTGATGTTAAACAGGTGCAATACCTCTAAAAAGAAACTTGACTAAGCGAATACATATAAATCAAAGGGAATTACTGTCTTTAATCATTGTAATTACCGCAAAGCTAATATCTTTATCAGTTAAGTTAATCTTAGGCAACAGTTAATTTTAAAAAAGTTTTACGAATAAACTATATAATTCACTATGACCTACTCTCTTTTTCTCATTATTTTTTTCTTTACATCTTTCTTCTCTTCTTATCTTTTTCTCCTTTTCACACTCTTACTACAAATTACTCACCTCAGTGCCGCTTCTTCCTTCATTGTCTTCCAAGCGCTTTATGTAAATTGTTGCCTTTTCGTACTTCAGATTTTTTTCTTGCTCCTGTTGTAACCTGTCGAACATGCATCCAGTACAGGTTTCTGAAAATAAAGACAAGATCATATCTCAACAGACATTGTTTTCTTTTGTGTGTCTAATTATATATCCTAATATAACCAGTTTATTAGAATTCATTCATTTTGTTTTTTAATATACAAATAGTATAAATATTTTTAACAAGCACTTTTTGTTAAGATTGGAATTTTAACAAATTTTATTCTAAAATTATTAATAGAATAGTAGATTTATATATTAGATATATTATTTAAAAATTATATAATTATGCTATTGTTTAAAACAAACGATTCTTTTAATTAATAAATAAAAATTATTAAATATATTCTAATAAACAATAAATGTTTATATAAAATAAAAATAATTTATAAATAAATCTTTTTTTAGATTATATTTCATATGAAAAATTGAAAGTTAATAAGCTAAGATAACGCCTGTAATAAATTTATATTATTTTTGAATGAAATAATAATAACTGATATTATATTTTAATATATTTTAATAAAGATTTATTATGTAATGAGAACAGATATTAATTTAATGTTATATACACTACTGAGTGTATAAACTATATTCCCTCGTACTAATTAATTATTTGATTGTCGCTTTATTTTTTAAATTCTTTCTACAAAAATTTATTTTTCATATTTAAAATAAATTAAAAAAAAACTAAATAATTTTATTTAAGAGGATTCACCAATATATTTAAATGTTTAATATTAAAATAAGATAAAAAATAAAGAAAAATAGAGAACTTAAATCAATAATTAGTGGGGACATTTCCTGATTGTGAAATGATTCCATATAATTTAAATCCTACTATCGAGTTATTCAGGATCGTATTTTGGATAGTAAATAATAATTAAGAGAGAATCAGAAAAGTTTTATATTCACAGATAATTATTTTTATTATATTTATAAATTAATCACGTTAAATAGTTTTAAAATTATAAAAAAACAAAAAAATGTAAATATTCAATAATGGGCTTACAAACATAAATTCAAGGTTCCAGGATTTACTATTAATATTAAGTTCAAAAAATATAATTATACAAATCATTAATTACTTTAATATGATCGTGAATTTTAATATCTTTGTAACTTATATTTTCTTTGATATTTACGTTTAATAGTTTTAAATGCTTTTACTTTATATATTAGTGATAAAGTTTAAAGAAAAATAATAATTTTCAGAAAACCTATTTTATTGAGAATATAACTTTTGTTTTTTTTGAGATCAAATTTCAATAAAATTTTATTTTTCTCTGAGACGTTTAGTTTCCACTGAATTAAAAATAATCAAATTTAAATATATGTTTAGAACTGCTTATTATTGAATTACTTGCAGTAAAGTATACTTAATTCTAAATAAGTATTATTTTGCTTAGCGTTCTACAATTTTGCAAAATGAGAAAATAATTTTGTTAAACCTTATTTTCTGTTTGGAAGAATAAGCCATATATGATAATATGAAAGTTAAAGAAATAAAAATGACAATTTTTTTCTTCTCTAATTAATTTTTATTTTATAATATACATAAAAGTTCTAATTCCAACAAAATTGATATTAATTAAAAAAATTTTAAGATAATAGTTATTTTTAGGTTAATTCAAATAAAAAAGTAAACACTGAATTTATAGTTCAATATGAAATTAATTAAAAAATGTTGAAAACATATACAAATAAAAAATGGAAAGTAAAATGTTTAATACTTTTTAATATTTGAAGTTTCAAAGATATTAATGACGTTAATTATGTATTTCATAAACGTTTTCATTTTTTGATCGATTTTATGATCAATTTAAAATATTTGCTTCAGTTATTATACTAAATATAACACGCTGTTAGTTGTATATAATTTTTCTATAAATATTTTAAATATTTAGAATTATTAAATTATAATTTATTAAAAACTAAGTTCGAGATTTTCAGATATGCAATGAATATAGATAATTTTTCAATATGAATAAAGCATCAATATAAAAAAAGTAAATTTTTCTGTATATAATTGAATAAAGATTAATTGAAATATTGTAAATGTTTATAGTTTAAAACAAAAAATTCATTATTTTCTGTATTAATTTTTAAAATAATTACAAATATATGCATTTATTTTTCTTTTCTAGGAATGAATAACAGAAAAATTTAACATGAACATAAGATATTGATATAATTATGTTTTAGTAAAAAATGTTTCAGAAGAAAAAATAGGAAAAAAACTATAAACTATATAAAATGCAATCAAATCGTCAAATTAATGTAGGAGAAATATAAAGTCTCGTTCAAATTATCTTTTAGTAGTAAAAGGTTAGTTATTCTAGGAAAGTAGATGAATTTGCTGGAGTTTAGGACTTAGCTCTTATCCATGTATAATAGATCTTTCTCCCAGCTAGCCGTTGATTAATATAGTAATTAATAATATACGGTGACCATGGGTCTTGCGCTTAAGGGGTGCTATAACTGCTTGAGGGCAAGAAAACCTACATTGTTTTAGCTACTGTAACTTGCTAACTGAACGTGCAAAAAAATATTTTACAGATGAGAGAGACAAATAGATAGAGATAGGCAGATGGGGAGATAGAAATAGCAATTTTTATATATTTCTAAATCCTGCCTATAATTGTAAATATATTACTTTTTTTTTAAGTATATCTAGTTCAGCGAAATAATGATATATTTTAAGCTAAATTTGACTAAAGACTAGAAATTTCTATTAGTTCAATTGAGTATATATTATATACTAAAAAATATCAAACACAAATTTAAAATAATATTTAATACTATGTAAATAACTAAGATAAACTAATACTAAGATAAAACTAATTTAAAAGTTTTATTTTAACAAATGACGAAAGTATATAATGATTCAAAAAATTTTATTTGTTTCAAATAAAATATTTTTAAGAAATTATATTTATATATAGTTTATAATAAATTAAAAATAAATTTGTTTAGGTAAAACAATTAATTTTATTGTAAGTTAGTTAGTAAGTAAGTACAGAAGTAAGTAAATTTATATTGACAGGAACTGCTTTTGAATGAATTTAAATGTCCCACACTGTCAAACCCAAATATGAATAGATATAATAGATTTAGATAACACTTCCCAAAATCATTCTCTTTAGAACTAAAATTTATATTCTAAAAAATAATTTAATATAACCTGATTCGATCAATCTTAATGTTAATTCATATGATGCAAAAAATTGAAAAATATTATATATAAACTAATGGTTAGTTATGAATATTTTAATTTCGTATGCATGCTAATTTTATTAATTATTTGCCAATTATTATAAATTTTGTTCAATGTGAAACAACATTAATAAATGTACCAATTAAGCTTTCATATTACAAATAATATGAAATTTCTTAATATTTCTGTACAATTTACATTTAGTAGGATAGGATAGATAAGTAATTTGTTTTTAATGGTAAGAGAAAATGATTTTAACTAGAATATTGGATAAAAACATTTTTAATGTAATTCTGATTTATTTTATGGTGTTTTTAATTATTCAGATTTATGAAAAGTAAAAATCTAGAAATTATTTAATACCTTTTTATTTGAAGATATTGGATATTAGTAAAATTATCAAAATAGTACAATTAAATCAAAACGCATTAAGTATATTTTGTACTACAAGAATAAAAAATGTATAATCTATATGATTACTCAAATGACATTTCTTAAAGGGGCTATGTAGTAATAAGCTTGCTCATTTTATTCTATTTTTTAAAAGCAAAATTTTCATCAAATATTGTTTATATATTTACTTAAAATTTTTTTAAGATTTTCATAATTTTATTTTCTAAAAAGTAAAACGCTGGACTTATTATATTGTGAAAAATGTTAAATGTATAGTTTTTTAAAACTTGTTCATTATTTTTGCCAAGTTCAGATTTTTTTGAAAAAATTAAAAAGATCGTTTGAAGGTATTAAGTAAAGTACTTAAAATTTTTCATTGATTTTAATGAATTTTTTCTATAAACGATTAATGAATCCCATTTTTTAATAAATATAGTTAATTCGTAGGCAGCAATTCTTTAATTCGAGATTAAAATTCTTTATATTCAAACTATGTACACACACACACAATATAGTTTTAAATAATAACTTTACAAACGTTCATATATAAATTTATTATTAAATAATTATTTAATTATTAAAAAATTCTTTATCCACGATGTTTAGAATTAAAAATAATTTTGTGAGTTTAAATTTTCTACAATTTAAAAAAAAATTATATCAATAAGTATTAGATAAAAAGACATGTTTTTTGCCTTTTTTTTAAGAAGTTTAAAAATTAATTGTGAAAAATGTAATCAGTTCCTCACGTTAAAAAGTATTAAAAAACCTATATTAGCAATTATTTTTATAGAATTACGTTTTTCTAAAAAGTAAGAATTATAAAAACTTCTTAACAAATTACAAAAAATAAATGTTATACGCTTATATTTTATTTATATAACGATAGACTTTATCGAAAATGTAGAGAACTCAATGCTAAATACGCATTTGTCCCAATAGTCCGATAGCATTCATTGCTAACTTTTTGTTTCTCCATTTTATGGTTTGACTATACTTGGATAGTACTTCAGGGAAATAGAAGCGCGAATATCACCGATGTATTTTATCCCTTAGTATTGTTGTCTGTTACTTTCAAACAAGTGATTCTGAATTCGGCTTTTATATTTTTGTGGAAACTATACTTATACTATTTTTCAAATCATGACAAATTCTAATGTTTCTTAATTATTATACGATTATATAATTTCATCTTATACAGAATTTATTACTAATAATTAATCTTAACACAAATAAACAAATTGTTTATTGAGACTTTTCATTTATTTAAAAGCATATAGATATATCATACAGAAAAACCATACGGTTTTTAAATATTATATATATCGAAAGAGAATCAAAAAATTAAAAAAAAAAAAAATATTTAAAATACATATGGCTATAATTAATTAATTTTTACAATATAATATAATAATTAAATTAATTGTTAAATGTATA